TGTGAGTACACCTTAAACACACTGAGATATGCTGACAGGTAACAGCCTTTCTGACCTGGCGTTTCTCCTCTTGTTGTAGAAAGGGTTTGCAATGTTCTTATTCTGATCAAGTGTGCTTGCTATCATTGCCCTTGGTGGCAGTTCAGAGGCTGAGGGCAAGTTTTTCTTGGGGGTGATTTCTGCAATTAATCTAGATTCTCTCTGCCTGGAGCATAATAGATTACATTAAAACCATGATTAATTCTTCCTTCCTTCAGAAGAACAGTCTTGCAGTGAGTTTACCCTGCCAAAAAAAGTCCTGAATGGCACTCTCTATACCCCTTATTTTGCTTGTGATCTGTGCTGGGTCCTACCTGTATGTGTGTGCTAAGAATGCATCCCTGACCTGGTCCTGCAGCTGAGAGAACTCACTGTGTCCTTAATAGGGTTTGATGTGAGTTAAAAGTAGGGCACCTGCTAACCAAGTGCTGAGTGTGGGGTTTGAGTGCCCTATGGTTGGTGTTGGGCACCTCTGGGACAGATTTGCAGGGACTGAGCCCCAGGTTTCCCTGTCAGCTTCATGAGGAACACTGGCGGAGCTGCAAGTGCCTCCCTGTCTCTGCTGCAGGTACCTTTGTAACACTCCAGTGAGGTGGCAGACTTCATGGCTGCAGGGGCAGTAGTAGTAGTTGTTTGTGTGTGTTGTTTTTTTTAAGTCACAATAGCTAGAGAACTGGCTTAGCTTTTTTCCTCTTCTAGTGGATTCTGTGATTCTTGATTTTTGATTTTTTTTTTTTTTTTTTTTTCCTTTCTGATTCTGTGATGCAGAGCCTGTGACTTCTGTTGTGTGTTAACAGAAAGACTTTCACAAACATCAGACCTGGGAACTTTCCCTCCTTTGTTAACAAAAGTCTAGTTGATTCTATCCCCTCCTTCCTTCCTCTCAGGAAGGGAGCACTACTCTGCAAGGCAATTTTTGTTGCATGCATTCAGGAATATTGTGAATTTTGACAGACTCCGAGGTTTGATTCCTGATTCAAAGTTGCAGTTTTCTTCTCATGCTTCCTCACCTGAAAATATAGGACAAGTGCAGCATGCTTCCTAGTAAGATTCTGGCCTTGAGTCAGGCTTCTTGGCCTCTTAGACAATGCACAAAGCAAGTTCAACCTATAGAGAAAGGGGTATGCAGGCTGAAGCTCATGGGAAATGTGAGGTTGACACTAGCGTAGAATGAAGTGCCCAGCTGATGTCCAATATCTGCATCTATATAATCAGGCATGATTTGTGCCATTAGTATAGTCCTGTCCTGGCACAGAAAGTTTCTCTATTGGGGGAGGTTTCTATTCCTTTTCTTTCTATATTGAAAGTGCTTTGATTGGTCATGAGCATGTTGATGTATGGAATACAGCCTCTGTGGAAGGCTCTGCTGGCAGCTAGCGTTGTGTACTTGGCTGTTTCTTGGCTGCAGAGGTCCTAGAATGATATGACTAAATTGGGCACTGAGACTAACATCCAGCACCCCTTCCTGCACCCCTTTGAGTTTTCTGCCCCTTGTTCTGGGGGATGATAATGTTAAACTTTTCTAATGAAGCCAAATGCTTCCTGGTGAGGACTGATCAACTGCAATAGCTGCTTGATGATGCTGCACCCCAGAAACTGTTGACAGCAGAATGACCCATGTTCCTGTTGCAGAGTGAAAGAGCTCAGCCCTCACAATGGAGCTGGTGAAATCCAGAATCACATGGAAACTGATAATGAGGAAACAGAGACCAGTGGAGAAGTCTTGAGTCTTCAACACAATGTATGTATGCAGTGAGCTGAACAGATCTCAGAGCTGGTAACAACTTGCTATTCTTACTTGGACTGTTTCTTGCAGCTTTCCAAGGATGAGGAAGAAGAACTTTCTCCCCACATGTTCAATTTCCGTGAGGCTGTGATTCAGATTGGCGAGCAGGAGGAGAAAGTTATAGAAGAGCTTAGAGAACTGAAACAGGTAGGTGGAAGAGGTCAGCTCAGACTAAGATGCTTTTCTGTATATTGACAGCAGCTTGTCTGAGCCAAGTGTTAATGGGTAGGCCATAGGCTGTAATGCAAGAATCACCTTTTCACTGCCACCACCTTCTTGTGGTGGTTAGCTCAAGTGGCTAAACAAGACCATTTTGCTGCTTGTAGCCAGCAAGTCCCCTTTCACCTCCTACTAGTGACCTCCATTTGCTGCTTATGGCACAGAGCTGCTGGTCTGTAGAAGTTCAGCTTTAATTCATGTGCTGGACTGGAGTTTCCGAAGAGTTGATTTCTCATAATGGCCCCTCTTTTGAAATGCAGAAAATGACTGAACTTGACTATCTCTTGGGAATGACTGAGCAGCCAGACTACGATCTCGAGACTTTTGTCAGCAGAGCCAAGTGCTTCGTAGAGGACAGCTCAAGAAACATCATTAGTGTTGGAGGTATGTTAACATTTTTTGGTAACAGTGGCATGCACCTTCTGGAACAGGCACTAGCACTGCCATTAATGATTTCAAAGATCAGACACTAGTATCAGCATAACTATTGGGATTTGAGCACCCAGTCCTCCTGAATAGCTTACCCTTCTGATCGTATTACTAGGAGGTCATGGGAAGAGATTTGAAATGTCTTTTTGCCTGCACTTTATCAAGAAAAATTTTGACTAGTAACTTTCACTTGCTTTTCACTGCCATAAACTACCTTCCCTTGAGCAGAAAACAATATCCACTATGAGCAAATGCACTGAAGTCTCTTTGGCTAGTTGGTTAGTAGTTATGTTGTTTTTACCTTTTGCCTTGGACAAAAACAGTGACTTTGAGAAACAGCCCCATGTGAACACTAAAGATTCACCAGGTATACCCACTGTTTCCATTTAAGTTTTTGTGGATATCAGACCTTAAGACCTATCCATTTATAACTGGTCTGTCTGGCATATTCTCATAGGACATGTCTGTCCGCATCTGTTTGATATGTGGTTACCTTAATACAGAGAATCACTGGATGTGTAGTAAAATCTCTCCAACTGCACAGATCAAACCTGGTTTGGAAGTCTCCCAGCTCTGTGCCAGAGGGATGTCAGCTCCTTCTTCCCTCTGCACTGCCTAAATGGCACTTCAGCAATTACAGCTTGGATAATATTTGCCTGTGAGGGTTTTCCAAATGAAGATGAAAAGCAAAGCGAGCTATTGTCAGAAAGTAGTAGTGATTTTTTTCTAAAGGCCCTAACTGCCCTCCCATCTTGGATACAGCTTGAGAGCAGGGGTCTGGTGCAAGTCTCCTGCCACCTTCTGTGCTACTGGCTGATGAGATCTGGTCCTCTGAGGTGCTCAATGAATGGGTTAGTGGCATTTAGCTTGAATTCTGCCAAGCCTCAGGCTTGAAAGTCTTGATGGGTGGGGAAAAAATGTAAACATGAAGGGCTTTGTTGGGATCAGGCATGATCTGGTACCAGTTGAGATGTTCTTCCGTCTCTTTACTTCTGAGATGTGATGGACTGGTGAATTCAGCTACTGGGTCAGTCCCCCTAATGTTCCTGTTTTCCTTTCCAGAAACATTAGATGCCCTGGCAGTTGCCATGCAACTGGAAGAGCAAGCCAGCAAGCAGATGAGCAAGCAGAGGCCTCAGTAAATATAGCAAAATGTGGTTCACAAGCAATCTTCTGTATCTCTTGCGTATGTCAGTGGTTTGTGTAACCTATTTTAAATGTGGTAGAGTGTGTAGGCCAGGTGTGTCTGAGGCAGCAATATGGCAGCCTCTCTCCCTAATTGGCCTGGAATCAGGGGAGGTGGCAGAAACTCTGCCAGAAAACCCTCACTGCAAGGCTTGGGGAGTGGGAACCTGAGAGTCTGCCAGATGTCTAACACAAGTGACTACGGTCTCCTAACAGAACTAGATATATGTGTATAGCTTTCTAGTGTACATACTATTTTTGGTTCCAGATGTGCTTGAAATGTTGCAAAACTGCAAGTCTGTCTTTTCTAGAAAGAAAATTGACTACCTGTAACTGTGAAAAAAAATCAGTATTTTAAGAAGTTTGCTTGATAAATAAATGTTCCTGAATTTAATTAATTTCTATTTTACAAAATATTTTCTTGATTTTGTTGGAGTCTGGCAGCCCTTAAAGTGTGGTTGGTGTTGTACAGGTTGGCTGGTTTCTTGTGGGATATTTCTTTTAAAACTCTTTATACTTCTAATGTTCATATAAAAATTATTCTAAATAAATATTGTCTTTTAATTTGGGGATCTTGTGGGGTAGAAAATGCCTAGCAATGAGAATCAGGTGCCCTCTGAGACATTCTCTATCTGTTGCTGCAGTTAAGAAGAGCTCTAGGTATTTTATGTGGTAACTTATAGTAGTGGCCAAGTGTGGAGGGTCCTGTTGACTCCTTTGGACCTCTCCAGTTTAACTGGACTTTGAAGGCAGCCTCCTGTATTTTTTCCATTCAGGAAACAGGGTAACACTCCACATAACACATGCAGCAGTATATCAAAAACTGTATTTGAAGGCAAAGCTTACCTATGAAGAAGCCTTAGCAAAGTAGGGCCTTCCTGTGTACCCCTGTGACTCCCATACAAGGAACTGGCCAGGGCTGGGGAAGCAGCTGCTGCTGCTGTTTCTGATGTGGTCAGTTCTCTCCAGGGCTAGTCTCTGAAAGAACAAAACAGACCCCTGAGCTCCAGGCCCAGCATTGGAGGTAGAATGTAGCTGTCATCACCACAAATACTCAGGATCAAGGGGACCACATCTGCTATCTCTGTTCTCCCTGTCTTAGAGCCCACCATGAGTCTGGGGGCTGATCAAGGGGACCACATCTGCTATCTCTAAGACAGGGAGAACAGAGCCCACCATGAGTCTGGGGGCCAGTCCCTGCCTGGGGGAAGAGGCTTGAAGCTGCATTTACCCTGAAAACTAAAGGGTAACTTCAATATGAGTATAAGAGGGAAGGGGTGGAGGGTGATATTCCAGGGATGGAGCCTGATTTTCACACACCTTCAGTGGCTTGAAGCGTTGTCAGCTCCTGGGGCCTGTCCTCTCCACTGTAGGCCAGTATTTCAGCCTGGAATGAATCCATTTTTGTGTACCATGTCTCAGGACTGTCCTGGAAGAGGCAGTGAAGAAGGTGGTGTTAGTACCTTAGTGGGACCTGGGCAATCACCAGCAACACGTGGCAAGCTACCCTGAGAATAGCTGCCTCAGCCTTAATAGGCTGCTGCTCCTGCCCTACTGCTTTGGGAGAAACAGCATTGATGCTGGGAGCAGCATGGGGCTGGAAACTGTGAAGCGTTCTTGGCTGCTATTAAACAGTAAACAGGCTCTGTCTGCATCATGCATGCAGAAGCATTGAAAGAGCTGCTGGACTCTTAAGTTTGCACTAAAGCAGTTCCCCAAGTTCAGTCTCTTCCTACCTCCAGTAGCACTGCATGTACTTAGGTGTACCCAGACTTGGGATGAGTGGGCACGGGGGCTGCAAGGAACAAAATGCTGCCCTTGCTCCAGCTTTCCTCTCGGGACCCAACATTGCTGGTTTATTCCCCTCCCGCAGCTAGAGTCAGGAGGGACCTGTGCTGGGGGAATTCCTATCTCCTTGGCTTTTAGGCCGCACTCCTGACACCCAAGGTCCCAATATCACAGCAGTAGCAGGAGTCCTTCCTTGCTGTCTGGGGGCTGAGGTCAGAGTGACTGATCTTCCTGAACACTGGAACTGAAGATAAACATTACCAAAAGGACAGCTTGGTTCATTCCCAGTCTCTGAGATCTGATACAAGACTAGCTTTCTTGTGAAAAGTCCAGGCCCCTACAGAAGCTCTTAAGGCTATTAAGAAAAATAATAATAAAAAGGGAGGCATGTTTACCATAAAGAGCTGGAACAATGTGTCCCCTACTGCCAATCTCACGGTCTCCTCCACAGAGGGAAATGTGTGGACAAAATACTGCAACAGAACAGAAAGCTAGTGCACAGGGAGTAGGGATGTGAGCATGCGTACAGGGTGGGAGTTAAATACATGTGGGTCCAGATGTGACTCTCTGAGCTGTCTCCTCTGGCTCCAGTGCTGCTGCTGGTACTTCATGAACCTGGACTCACCTCCTGAACACACCAAGAGGCTGTGACACATGGGTCCCTACTCAAGCCTCACCTTGTCCCTACCATTCTCCTCCAGTGCCAGTTCCCCCCTTCTTTGGACAATAGAAAAACAGGGTATTTCAGTGAAATGATCTCAGTGAAGTAGCTGCTAGGGGGTTCAGTCTGTTGGGCTGTGAGTGCTGAGGTGAATGCAGCACTGACCTGTGCTACTTCGTGGGTTTGTGACCCCCTTTTTCACACGCAGCAGTCCCTTCCCTTCTACCGACAGTGTGTTCCTTCCCCTTCCCGACTGTGGCTGTTACACAGGCAGGGCTGTGCTGAGGCACATCGAACACAGCTACTTTGTGAAGCAGAGTCACTCCTGCCTTTGTGATTAGGCCATTTCTGCTGTGCTTAGAAGCACCCTCCAGTGCAGGGAACCTTTCTGTTAGGGAGCTCTGGGAGAAGACCCCTTCCTACCATGTCCTCTGTCACATACCACCAAGGAGACGCTGGCGTGTCTCTGGCTGACCGCGTGATCCTGATTCCCCATAGCCACCATCAGGCTGTGCACCACTTCCAGCTGGATCAGCTCTTCTGCCACTGCGGCCGACTCCTTGGCTAAAATGCTGCAAAGGGATCGGGCATCAGTCCCCACCCTGCACGCAGGAAGCAGCACTCGACAAACTCATGGCGAGCAGTGGCTCCAGGCTGCTCAGGCTGCACCTCTTGCTGCAGAGCTGGTGAGACTCCATGGAAAGGACGGACTTCTCTTTCTACACTGTTCCCAGTGAGTGGCATTGTTGGGCAGGAGGCAGATGTGGATCAAAATAAGCAAGAAATATTTGGCTCTGCATGGACTGTCAATCATTTAACATGTAGATTTGGTAAAAAATAACTGATAAATGATTGTCAGGAGTTTCCAAGTGGGTCTGTTTAAGTTAGCAAGTTTCCTATGTGACCATAAAGAACCCAGCACCAGAGGTAGAAATGCCCCCAAGATTGCTTCTGTGAGACCATTCCTTGGAAGACACCCCAATACCCCTCCCAGCCCATTAAAGGCTTTTTGTCATCTGCTTTTGCAAGATAAATGTTGTCACAGCACTATCTGGTGGACATTAAAGGAAATTCTTTCGAAATGCACAAAGTTTAGCACAAAAGGCTGACTGTAAGGATTCTCCAGTCAGATACAGGCACTGGTTTCTTCCATTGACTGGTTGATGTTAAATAATGGTGTTTCACTGCTTGCTGAGATACCCTGGGAGCGCCTGAAGCTTTTCAGACAGAGAGGACACCGTGAATGCACCAATGGCCTGATCTGAAGAGATCCCACACTTCCTTGAAAATAAAATTTCAAGCCAGTTCGGGTGTCAGTAGCAGGGAAGGGCTGAGCACTGCTACCTGCAAGCAGTGTCTCTACCCTGCTCCTGAACCACTCCCTCTCCCTGAGCAGTCCAGTGCAGGCCGCTTGGACGAGCCTGGGTGCTTAGGTGGAGCACAGTGTCTGAGGTGAATGCTCCCTGGGAGGAACAGGGCTCAGCCCTTTCCTCCCCACTGAAAGCTGCTTCTCCAAGATCCTTCTCTAGCTCTTGTGGGTTTGGCCCAGAGTTACTTACCCAATGGCTTTTGCAGCAGCTGCTTGCTGAATATACAGCAGCATAGGCTCTCTCAGGCAAGGCTGCGCTGGGTCTGCAAGAACATTAGGAAGGTGAGAATGACGCTCTGACACACTTTTCCTATGATGTGTTAGAAGAAATTGAAGATGAGGTTACAGTGGTAGCATGAAAGGAGGATACTGTTTTTTTTTTGTTGTTGTTGTTGTTCAGGAAATGTGCCTCAGGGAAGCCTGTGGCTTTGTATCATTTAGTAGTACTGCAGGGAACTGTGTACAAGGAACCCACAGCAGCACCCAGGCACTGCAGCCTGCTCTGCTGAATCAGGAAAGGAAATGCCCAGGGCTGTGATTGTTCATCACCATCACCCAGCAGACTTTGGTGGGTCTCTGAAAGCCTGCACTAGTGCAGTGGGCTGTCCATGCTCCCATCTGTTTTAGCATGTACAGCCAATTCCATGGCATTCACGTGTCAGGAGCCTTGCTACTTTCCTGACCTTGTTGGACATGGACTTTGTAGAACCTTATTACTCCACCCTTATATTTCTGAAGGATGGCTGCGACCCAGGCACCCCTTTCTGCCGTTCCCCTCACCGTGTGGGGCAGCTTCCTGCATCCCCTCCCCTGCAGAGACAGGAGGACACATGAGCTGTACAGAAGGCGTCAATGAAGCACTGCAAGAAGCACTGCTTTACCCAGCCTTCAAGGCCCTGTCTGGCCACGGCCTGCCGTGCCCCTCGGTGCCTTCTTCAGCACATCTACCTTGGGCGGTTTCGCTGGAGAAGGTGAACGCTTCCCTCCTGGGTGGTGTCAGCAGCGCAACTAGCCCCTTCAGCAGGGCTGGCCGCACCGCGCAGGCCATGAGGGCCCTCAGCAGCTGGATGGCTGGAGAGGAGAGGGAATGGTGTGAGCACCTCCTCTGCGCAGGCCTCTCACCGAGCGCCTCCGGGCCGACCCACGCATACAAGTCTTCGGGGGAAGACCAGAACCTGCTCATGAGAGGGCGGCAGGGTTCTGACTCTTTTTTCAAGGTCTCCTACCGTGGCAAAATAAAGAAATACATAAATAAATACTTTTTTAAAAAAGCTTGCAGGCGTATGGCTGGCGAGCAGTCACGTGGCAGTGGGGTCGGAGGCGTGACCGTTAGGACGACCGTTAGAACAACGGCTCTAACGGCTCTAAGCGCCGCGCCTCAGCAGCGACAGCTGGGGAAACGGATTCAGCTGCCACCGCAGCCCCTCGTGACTCCTGGGGACAGTCACGAGTCAAAAGCGATTGCTACTTAAAAACCAACGGGTAACACGGCCGTTGCTAAACAAGCTCTGTTTTTGACCAGCAATGGGTAGCT